AAGAATCTGAATCACTTACAACATACTGCTCGAGGAAAGCGAATGGATTTCGAGCGTTCGCAATCCCAACCTGAACTTCATTCAGCTGAAGCAAGCAAGCGGTGGCCAAAACAGTCCATACATTGGTGCTGTTGATCTTTATTTTACCGGAGTAGCAAAAATCTATGAGAGCTTCAAGTGCTGAAGCTTTGACATCCTTTATCTCTATTTCTCCTGCAAAAAAAAGAGTTGATCAAAATACTCTAAAATGCTCATGAAATTGCAACGAGGGTGAAAACCCATTGGAATATATCTGAACTTTCAGAGGCTCACTCAGGCGGCTTTCAGCCATGTCGTTTGTGAACATGGCTTCAAAATAACTTGTACTTGCAGCAAGTACGACTCGATGGGCGCTTATCCGTGTTCCCTGAAATATCTCTTTTATGTCTATTGAACGGTCCTTGGCATTAAGTGGGCTACCTCGGCGATCAGCGTCACGTCACACAGGCGAGAGTTCTCTCGAAGTTGTGCCAGCCGAGAGAGCAAAAGACGATTGTGGGCAGAACTCTAAACGTCATGTAGATGCGTTCATTGAGAATCTTATCTTTAAGCACGTTTGGAGCCCGGGAGGCTTCCTACTGTACACACTTGATCAAAACTAAGTGGCTAATAATAATGATATAAGGCTGACGCCTATCAGCTAAGCGGAGGTGCAGAAGCTGGCAGAAAAGGATTGAGACCAGCGAAGGGAAAAAGGTGAATTGCTAGTTGTGTTTGGTGCAGCCAGCTAAGCGGAGCTGGAACCATAGTCAACCGCCCACACTACTCGCACTATTCGTACGGGGGTCGCATTTTGTCAGGGGCCGAGGGAGGGGTCGCAAAACTCGAGGACCCGCAGCAGAAATCGCGGTGGTAGCGTCATCGGTCGGTGGATGGAAGGCTGGGAGGAACTCACAGAGAACATGAAGTTGTCGTAAACTCAAAAGAAGTATTCTTTCCAGACTCAACCTTTTCGTCCTGAGGTGCTTTTCGCGCGAATATCCTACTATATATAATTCGCTAAGTATGTCTGTGTGTGTGTGTGTAGGTCTGTGTGTGTGTGTGTGTTTGTCACGAAATTCGTAGCTCGGGTCACAGCAACGATAGCGCCATGGTTCTTACATATGTTATAGGGGGTGGGATGGGGACCCCATCGCCGAGGGCTACGCCGATAGGAACTGATAACGACTTGATTAAGCTGCGATAAGTAGGGGCTAGAGAGCGAGCATCGCCAATTTCGTTTTGTCGTGTCATATATTACGTACGAGAGCGTCCATACTTACAAGTGTTATGTAGTGTGGTCCCGGGACAATGGTGGTACATGAATGGAAGCGATAGCAACTGATAAGGGCTGATAAGGGGCGTCAGAACGCAAAAGTCGTCGATTCCATTACCCAGCTCGCGTTGACACTACAGCGTCCATACTCGCAGGTGTCATGTGGGGTGGGACGGGGACATTGTTGGTAGGTGATGGAAAGTGGTTACAACTGATAAGGGCTGATAAGGGCGTCAGAATGCAAAAGTCGTCGATTCCGTTACGCAGCTTGCGTTGACACTACAGCGTCCATACTCGCAGGTGTCATGTGGGGTGGGACGGGGACATTGTTGGTAGGTGATGGAGAGTGGTTACAACTGATAAGGGCTGATAAGGCTGAAGGGGCGTCAGAACCCAAAAGTCGTCGATTCCATTACCCAGCTTCGCGTTGACACTACAGCGTCCATACTCGCAGGTGTCATGTGGGGTGGGACGGGGACATTGTTGGTAGGTGATGGAAAGTGGTTACAACTGATAAGGGCTGATAAGGGGCGTCAGAACCCAAAAGTCGTCGATTCCGTTACCCAGCTTCGCGTTGACACTACAGCGTCCATACTCGCAGGTGTCATGTGGGGTGGGACGGGGACATTGTTGGTAGGTGATGGAAAGTGGTTACAACTGATAAGGGCTGATAAGGGGCGTCAGAACGCAAAAGTCGTCGATTCCGTTACCCAGCTCGCGTTGACACTACAGCGTCCATACTCGCAGGTGTCATGTGGGGTGGGACGGGGACATTGTTGGTAGGTGATGGAAAGTGGTTACAACTGATAAGGGCTGATAAGGGGCGTCAGAACGCAAAAGTCGTCGATTCCGTTACCCAGCTTGCGTTGACACTAGAGCGTCCATACTCGCAGGTGTCATGTGGGGTGGGACGGGGACATTGTTGGTAGGTGATGGAAAGTGGTTACAACTGATAAGGGCTGATAAGGGGCGTCAGAACGCAAAAGTCGTCGATTCCGTTACGCAGCTGCGTTGACACTACAGCGTCCATACTCGCAGGTGTCATGTGGGGTGGGACGGGGACATTGTTGGTAGGTGATGGAAAGTGGTTACAACTGATAAGGGCTGATAAGGGGCGTCAGAATGCAAAAGTCGTCGATTCCGTTACGCAGCTTGCGTTGACACTACAGCGTCCATACTCGCAGGTGTCATGTGGGGTGGGACGGGGACATTGTTGGTAGGTGATGGAAAGTGGTTACAACTGATAAGGGCTGATAAGGGGCGTCAGAACGCAAAAGTCGTCGATTCCGTTACCCAGCTTCGCGTTGACACTACAGCGTCCATACTCGCAGGTGTCATGTGGGGGGACGGGGACATTGTTGGTAGGTGATGGGGAGAGTGGTTACAACTGATAAGGGCTGATAAGGGGCGTCAGAACGCAAAAGTCGTCGATTCCATTACCCAGCTCGCGTTGACACTACAGCGTCCATACTCGCAGGTGTCATGTGGGGTGGGACGGGGACATTGTTGGTAGGTGATGGAAAGTGGTTACAACTGATAAGGGCTGATAAGGGGCGTCAGAATGCAAAAGTCGTCGATTCCGTTACGCAGCTTGCGTTGACACTACAGCGTCCATACTCGCAGGTGTCATGTGGGGTGGGACGGGGACATTGTTGGTAGGTGATGGAAAGTGGTTACAACTGATAAGGGCTGATAAGGGGCGTCAGAACGCAAAAGTCGTCGATTCCGTTACGCAGCTTGCGTTGACACTACAGCGTCCATACTCGCAGGTGTCATGTGGGGTGGGACGGGGACATTGTTGGTAGGTGATGGAAAGTGGTTACAACTGATAAGGGCTGATAAGGGGCGTCAGAACGCAAAAGTCGTCGATTCCGTTACCCAGCTTGCGTTGACACTACAGCGTCCATACTCGCAGGTGTCATGTGGGGTGGGACGGGGACATTGTTGGTAGGTGATGGAAAGTGGTTACAACTGATAAGGGCTGATAAGGGGCGTCAGAATGCAAAAGTCGTCGATTCCGTTACGCAGCTTGCGTTGACACTACAGCGTCCATACTCGCAGGTGTCATGTGGGGTGGGACGGGGACATTGTTGGTAGGTGATGGAGAGTGGTTACAACTGATAAGGGCTGATAAGGGGCGTCAGAACCCAAAAGTCGTCGATTCCATTACCCAGCTCGCGTTGACACTACAGCGTCCATACTCGCAGGTGTCATGTGGGGGGGACGGGGACATTGTTGGTAGGTGATGGAAGTGGTTACAACTGATAAGGGCTGATAAGGGGCGTCAGAACGCAAAAGTCGTCGATTCCGTTACGCAGCTTGCGTTGACACTACAGCGTCCATACTCGCAGGTGTCATGTGGGGTGGGACGGGGACATTGTTTGGTAGGTGATGGAAAGTGGTTACAACTGATAAGGGCTGATAAGGGGCGTCAGAACCCAAAAGTCGTCGATTCCATTACCCAGCTCGCGTTGACACTACAGCGTCCATACTCGCAGGTGTCATGTGGGGTGGGACGGGGACATTGTTGGTAGGTGATGGAAAGTGGTTACAACTGATAAGGGCTGATAAGGGGCGTCAGAACGCAAAAGTCGTCGATTCCGTTACGCAGCTTGCGCTGACACTGGAGCGTCCCTACTTACAAATTGTATTTGTAGTGGTACGTGCACACTGTATCATTGTATGACCAGCCTACTTAATAGCAGTCTATTGCATGAATTCAATCAAGTCTTCAGCAAATGATAACTTTCGTTCCTATCAAGAAAGCCCAAACTCATTAAACCGCTAATCCTTTCGGGGTTCTAAATAATGGTGAATGTAAATAAATGATAAGCCTTAGCTCCTCACATAGGCATATTTCATTTTCATTTCGAGACTGACTGCAATCCTATTCACCGCCGCTAAATTATCTGAATTCAAGAAGAATGTGGATGTTTACAGTTGTGAGAAAAATATGCCAGTTCAGCTCCAGACGTTATCACGCGTATTCTCGATGGACTTCAGCGAAACTGGGAAAAATCTAACACATTCAATAGTGAGGTGGTTAATGGAGTACCTCATGCTGATATTCCATGGGTCCTCCAGTTTCGCTAAAGCCTGCCGTGTGATGCGCGCGATAGCGGGCGGAGCAAAACTGGTTTAAATATATCGTGCAATTGCCTTTTGATGAGCGCCAGCAAAAATTTCAGGCGAGAGCTCGCGTTCGTCGCAAACCAAGCGATTCACACATTTACCATAAAGAAGTTTCTTGACGAATTACGATGTATTCGGACCAAACAATAAGCAAACAGTGCTTCATGGAAATAACTTCTTCGAAGACTAGAGAATAAAGTTCTTCAGTAACCTAGTTTTTGAGGACGCTTCCTTAGAAGAAAGTCTGGAGCATGTTAGGAAGCAGGAAATCTCGTTGTTGTCAAAAAGGTCTTCGCTCTACCCCAACAAGCTCCTTAAGGAAGTTGTTATTGCTGAAAACTCAAAAACTCCAAGTTACTCTTCAAAAAGTCTGAGGGGGAAAAAGTGCGAACGTGTGATTTTCTCGGAAAATGAACTTTAGAAACGGTTGAGCGCTTGTTAGAAAGAGCAAATCCTGCACTTTCACCCCATGCTAAAAGTTTGCACAGAAATGAAAATGAAGTGAGTTATGGCCGCTGAAAGCCCAAAAACTCGCTTTTGCACGAAAAATGTTCGAACGGGACAATTTTTTGAAAAAGGGGACAATCACTAAACTTTTTATACTGTTTTGATAGAGAAATATTTGAAGTTTCTGAAACTTTTACAGCTTTCCAAAAGTCGCACCCGAAAGATATTATGGGCCTTCGAAGATTGAGGTGCGCCGTTGCGCAAAGATCAACAAAGGAGTCGTACTTGGTCAACGGTAGGGGAGGGGGTCGTAACCTCCAGAAGCAATCACAAGATCTGAAGGTGCCAAGCCTCTTCTAGGTGGCGTAGGGAAACAGACAACTGCCACTACGCACCACAGGCTACTGAATGGCGTCCATCCAAGAGCAGAATTTTTTTAATAGAAAACGTCACGCCCCTACGAGCAGGACCGAGAAAACTCTTACAGAGAAACTCCTACGCTTTTAGATCAAGCCGAAGGGGATGAAGGTGCAACGAATTCGGCTGACTGACCTCTGGACAACTAATAGAAACCTATGGCAGGAGGAAGGTTTCCTTTTCAAGATTATCTAGCATAGGCTTAAAGTACTGATCATGTAGATTCAATGGTTTTTACCGCTTCTTATTACACCGATTTTGAAGAGACTTATGGCCGTTCAAAGGTTGAAAACTCGCGTTTTGGGAGAATGGCCTTAAAAACCACAGAGAAAAAAACGAAGCAACGGGACAATTTTTTGAAAGAGTGGTCATTAAAAACAATTTTAATATTCTTCCGACAGTCTTCTAGTTTCTAATTAGCTTTGAAAATCTGCAAAAAGTTATTATGAAGGAAGTTATGAATGTTTGAATGTCGAAAACTCGCGTGTGCACAAAAAACGGAACAACGGGACGATTTTTTGAAATATTGAACATTGCAACATTTCAAATACTTTTTAGGAAGAAAACAATTTGAAGTTTTTGAATTTTTGTATCCCATCTCATGAGACCGCTTTGAAGAAAGATATAACCTTTTGAATGAAGAGGTTTGTATCGTAACGTAATTGCTGCAAGGTTTAGTTATTCAGATTATAAAAAAAAGGAAATTTGAGAGATCGAAAAAAACTTGGTAGGTTTCTGAAAGTAGAAATCTCTGCGATTACTACCATGTATTGGTTTACGCAAAAATTTGGAAATTGCTTCTATTTAATGAATAAAATTTCATGTTGCCTCGATTCCCTCCTCTGAGCGAGACAAAGCGCGCGAACTTACCACCAGGGTGAAAATCGTGTCGAGGACGTGGTCACATCAGTACGACCCCCCCCTCAGATCGGGGTCTTGATACGACCCCTCTAACTTTGATTTGATGTGAATAAGCGAGTTCCATCAATGTACAGCAAAGCATTCAGTTGCAGCGCGGTTTATCCGTGGGTCAGATTTGCCGAAACCCGCTCGAAACCATCGAAATCTACACTCTCGATGAAAAGGTTCCAAAAAGTTCCACTCCTCTTCTTCTTAACCTTCAGAACGAACCTATGGTAGCGTTAGATAGAGCTGGATTAGCTACTACCGGGCAATATTGAAATGGATCTGAAAGCTTTACACTCGAAGAGATAGGGTGACTAGAAACATTCTCCCAACGTAAGCATTAAGAAAAGGGGACAATGGTCATTGCCCGCTCTCGTTTCGTATAGGCCATGCATCCGACCTTCACTCGAAGTTGCAGAATCGATTGAAAGGTGTTATATGATCATGACCAGTTGACAGAGCTGCATTGGGCACATTTTCTAACCCCTATAACTAAAGGAACAATTTCTTCTGCCCAGGGCCTTTTTCATCATTGAAATTTTTGCGACAGCGTCCCTAATAACAGTGTCATTCTCAACGAAGTATCAAGGGTGTGGGAGCGGGTGATAGAAGGAGGTGCCTTTGCAGCGCGTGTGCACAAGTGCCCGTGTTCCTTGTAGAAATGCCCTTCCATCCTTTTAACTGCTTTCGAATACGTCCTTCTCATGAATAGAGGAATGAAGCGACTGAAGCTGCAAAGGATATTCCATATCATGTTCTCTCAAATATCCCTGTTTTCTGCTGCGCTACACCCTATTACTCCTATGTGGACCACAATGCCACTGATGTTTACTGACCCCCAAATGTACGACCCCTATGAATTACCTCTGACGAATACGACCCCCTGTCGAAGATATCGTCGACCGACGTTCACCCTGCTTACCACTGCATAACAACTCTCATGTCGATGCCGCCCATACACTGATGGTGGGCCTGAAAGATGCATGTAAACAGCTAGCTGGCTTGTGCAGTGCCGTACAGATAGATACGCACTGGGAGGGGGTCGTAAAAATTTTGAAATTTGCGCAACGCCCGTTTCATCCTGCCCAGATACCTGCATGTATCGGACGACAGAAATGGGAGCTGTGGAGGCCGAGTTTGCAAGCACCAGCGCTCTTGTTGGGCACTCTATAGCTGAGAGAATGAGACATCCGTGACCTTCCTGCTCAGCATAGATCTAAACTTTAGAAGGATCCAGCGCTTCATATATGTCCTACAACAACGCACCAAAAGTTTACCACTGGTAGCGATGGGTTAAAGGCAGATGGTGCAATGAATCGATATCTTTCTATAATAATAGAGATGTTAAGAGGAAGTGCAGGGAAGAAAAATCAGGAAAACGGCCGGAAATCCCATGAGAAAGACCTTCGTTTCCTCGTTCTTTTCTAGGTTGGGCGAGTCTCATCGGAGCCGACGTTGACGGCGAGTACATCTTCGCTGAGTCTCTGCTTAAAAATCAGGGCCCAATGGCGGGGTCCAGCAGCTGCGGTGGCCAACTGGAGGGTGGACAGAGGGAAGAAGACGCCTAGTGGACGGGTCAAACTGTGACACGTCGCTGCGAGTGCACCAAAAGTGCCACCTCTCGTTCCCTTAAAGATCAGCCTCCATCTATAGAGGACGCACTCTCCTTTTTCAACATCTAACTTATCTCAATGTTCATGTAAGCGAAAAGCCACCTACAGGACGAGCTCTCGTCTTAAAGAAACCCCGGATTAAACTGGTGCTATGAGCGCTTCGTAGTGATAGCTTAGCTGCGGAACGACCTGAAAGTGGAAGGAAAGCAAGAGAAATCTTTGGGAACGCTGAAATTAAGGCCTTAACCTTCAATAAGGTCGGATGTGGTACGATGGCGAGACAGGGCGATCAAAGAAGACAAAATACGCGAGAGAGCACGTCGTTTGAGAGAGCACGCTGATCTCTACATCAATGCACGCTGATCTCACCACATCTCGCGGTGGGTGGGAAGCGTTCGATGGTTGCAGGCCCGTAAGGATTAGCGCCCTAACCGCGCGATTTTCGCGACCAAGTTGAAGTGATCTAGGTAGGTACGGACCTTACAATTTCCCTCGCGGTATCCTCCTACTAGTCGGGCTAATCCCGGGGTTTGCCTTTAAGAGTCAGGCTAATCCCGGGGTTTGACTTTCAGGTATCTACTAAAAGATCTCACAATTCTGCTACACGATGTCCTGCAAGGCGGAAACATGGATAACAATCCTACAACGGTTGAATACTAGTACTTCAACCCTTCTACCAAATAGTAGACTCTTTTTTACCTCGAAGTCATG